GACCTTAGCAGATTGACCTGCTGCCGCTTTGCCATCCGTCTCCACCGGCTTTTAGAGTTTGTTGTCCTTGAGTTGCAAATAACTCTCCTTATAATTCTCCCATATCTACGTACGACTCGCTCATTAGGTAGGTGCTACATGGTAGGGAACAATCAAGAAACAGCTTTCTTTGTCTCCCTCCCTTACAACAGTCCAAACGCACACCTGCTTCAGGCTCTCTTCCCCGCACAGCTGGAGAGTGTCTTGGGTGTGCTGAGAACTAAGTGGTTGTTTAAGTTTTGCGCACGGTCTCCTCTTAAGCTGTGACATGCCCAGGCCAGCCGGAACCCAAACCTCGACTCCTAAGCATTGGGACCGTTCCCTGCCCCCCTGTTCTGCTCACTGGGGGCGGGGCAGGGGGGGCTACACTGGGTGACATGGCTCCCCGTCCCCTTGCTGTGTTTCTCTTTGCTCCTCCAGGGCTGAAGTGAAGGAGGGAGAGAAATAAAGGGGAGGGGCCCGCGGTCATATGTGACTGGGGACTGGCGCTGTTGTGGGGTCTGAATGATCTTCAAGGCGGGCTTCCAAACACTGGCTCTTCCGTGGGGTCTGCTTCTGGTGCCTCCAAGACCCCATGGTATGCACCCGCACCAGCGGCCCTCAGGAGGAGGAGGCGGCCCTCCCTGGGACTGTCACCCCCAGCTCTGCCCACTCCTCCCCTGCAGGGTCATCCCTACAAGTCTCAAGCCTGAGCAGGAGCGTGTAAACCTACACAGGCCCTTAAGCTTTGTAGGCTCCGCTCCCACGGCTGACGCCACTACCACTGCGGAAGCTCACTCCTTCCATGAAGCCCTCCAGGCTTGCAGGTTCTCTGACGTCCCTGCCCCCAGAGGCAGCCTAACCCCACGATACCCAGGGCAGCTCCAGTCCCAGATCTCTGCTTCTAGCCTGTTCCTGCCAATAAAGGCATGTTGGCTCTCAAATTTCCCAGGACGCATCCAGAGTGTTCTCTTAAGGTCTCCCAGGTGCCACTCAGAGGGCACCTCAGGGTGGGCCCCGGAGTCCCTGGGGTTCAGCTGCCACTCAACCCGGTGGTGGGAAACGCCCAAGGGAAAAAAGCCAAGCCCGAAAGGTTAATACTGCAGGATTGCACTTATATAACCTTGGCAAGGTGACATGATTAGCCTGCAGAGAATGGACGGTCACCCCCCAGGGTGGAGTCCTGCGGGAGCAGGACTCAGTTGCTCTGACCGAGCTGCATCCTGAATCCCGTCATAGCTACTTCATCTACACAGGTGGTAACATTTCTAGAACTCTCCACCAAAGACAAACAAATCAAAGAATGCATTTAAAACTGGAGAAACCGGGGCCCCTGGGGGGCTCAGTCAATTGAGCGCCTGCCTTCAACTCAGGTCCTGATCCCCAGGGTCCTGGATCAAGTCCACATCGGGCTCCCTGCTCAGCCTGCTTCTCCCTCTCCCGCTGCTGCTCCCCTTGCTTGTGCTCTCACTCTCTCTATCTCTCTAATAAATAAAATATTTAAAAAATAAAAACAAAACTGGTGAAAACCCCTCGAAAGTCCTGTGGTTTGGTTAATAGTATTGTACCCGTGTCAATGTTCTGGTTTTGAGAATTCTACTACCGTCCCATAGGATGTCGTCATCAGGGGAGGGGAGGAGGTACAAAATAACTCTTTTTACTATTTTTGCAACTTTTCCTTTTCTCTTTTAAGATTTTATTTATTTATTCGACAGAGAGAGAGAGAGAGAGAGAGAGACAGAACACACAAGAAGGGGAAGCAGCAGACAGAGAGAGAAGCAAACTCTGGGACTCGATCCCAGGACCCTGAGACCATGACCTGAGCTGAAGGCAGAGGCTTAACCCACTGAGCCTCCCAGGGGCCCTATTTTTGCAACTTCTATGTGAATCTAAAATTATTTCAAAATAAAACTTTGATTCAAAAAAGAGAGAGAGAGAGAGAACCCTACTGGGGTTTGACTTGAAATGGCATTAAAATTACTGGGAGAACCAACGTTTTGATGAAACTGAGTCTTCCCACTCCAGTGGCAGGCGTGACTGTCCATGCGTTTGGGTTTGGCTTTCTGTCATTCAGTCAGTGTCAAGGTTTTCTTCAAAGACGTCCAATGCCTATATTTCATTTTTTTTAAGATTTTATTTATTTATTTGACAGAGAGAGATCACAAGTAGACAGAGAGGCAGGCAGAGAGAGAGAGAGAGAGAGAGAGGGAAGCAGGCTCCCCGCTGAGCAGAGAACCCAATGTGGGACTCGATCCCAGGACCCTGAGATCATGACCTGAGCCGAAGGCAGCGGCTTAACCCACTGAGCCACCCAGGCGCCCTATATTTCATTTTTTGAAACTATTGTGGGTAAAATAGATTCCCGTTTTCATGTTAATAGGTTCGTATCATGGGACTGGTTTTTTCCGTACATTTGTTTTTCTGTTTTTCTTCTCAAAGACCATCACCCCAACGTGGTCCCTCCGGTCCAACAACCAGATCTTTCTTCCCCCTCCCTCTTATCCCTGCTCATTTCCCGCCTGTCCCTTTGCATTCCGCTCTCCCCCGAAGTCCATACTCCCTACCTCGGCCATGCTTTATGTTTATGGTATTTATTTCTGTTTTTAAAGATTTTATTTGTTTATTTGACAGACAGAGATCACAAGCAGGCAGAGAGACAGGGGTGACAGACAGAAGCAGGCTCCCCGCTGAGCAGAGAGCCCAATGGGGGGCTCAATCCCAGGACCCTGAGATCATGACCTGAGCCAAAGGCAGAGGCTTTAACCCTTGAAGTAAGATTTCTTCCAAATGTAACTTCTGCCTCTAGTTTTCCATCAGTTCCACGATGGTTTTTGCCCTGAGCCCCTGCTAGTCGGGGTGGTTGGTTATATAGTAATCGCTAGCCAACACACCTTACCGGCTTTTCATGACAGCTCTTGGCTCTGCCTTTCCTTATCACCCTAAGTGTACACAGCTCTTAACCGACAGAAAAGAATTGAACTCAAATGCTTGTAAAAAGGAAATGGTCCTTTCACAGTCACAGAAGACTATCCGAGGCCTCACCCAGCCTTCTCCATTCTGCTGTGTTAAGATTGCTGAAAATCAGGCCATGTGAGCTACAAAAGGTTTCGCAAAAGAGCATACAGTGTGAAAATCTAGAACAGGCAAAACCAATCAATAGCGAAAGAAAGCGGGTCATTCACTGGCTGCCTGGGGACAGGAAGCAGTAGACAACGAAGGGACATAAGGCAACTTTGGGCAGATGGAAACATTCTGTATCTAGATTGGGCAGGAGTTACATAGATATTCACATTTGTCAAAAGTCATCTCTACTCTTTATTTTTTTTAAGATTTTATTTATTTATCTGACAGAGAGAGATCACAAGTAGGCAGAGAGGCAGGCAGAGAGAGAGAAGGGGGGAAGCAGGCTCCCTGCTGAGCAGAGAGCCTGATATGGGACTCGATCCCAGGACCCTGAGATCATGACCTGAGCCAAAGGCAGAGGCTTAACTCACTGAGCCACCCTGGCGCCCCATCTCTACTCTTTAAATGGGTATCTTTGGGGTGCCTGGTGGCTCGGTCGGTTAAGCGGCTGCCTTCAGCTCAGGTCATGATCTTGGGGTCCTGGGATCGAGCCCTGCATCAGGCTCTCTGCTCAGTGGGGAGCCTACTTCTCCCTCTCCCTCTGCCTGCCTCTCTGCCTACTTGTACTCTCTACCTCCGTGTCAAGTAAAAAAAAAAACATTTTTTAAAAAATGGGTGTATTTGGGGCGCCTGGGTGGCTCAGTGGGTGAAACCTCTGCCTTCGGCTCAGGTCATGATCTCAGGGTCCTGAGATGGAGCCCCGCATCGGGCTCTCTGCTCGGCAGGGAGTCTGCTTCCCCCTCTCTCTCTGCCTGCCTCTCTGCCTATTTGTGATCTCTCTCTCTGTCAAATAAATAAATAAAATCTTTTTAAAAAATGGGTGTATTTATATTTATATTACATATTAATTTATGTAGGAATTAGATGGCAATACAATTGTTTTTAAGATAAAAAAAAACTTACAATCCTCATGCACCGTTGGTGGGAACGCAAACTGGTGCAGCCACTCTGGAAAACAGTAAGAAGGTTCCACAAAAAATGAAACATAGAACTACCACGTGATCTGGCCACGCCATTTAGGGGCATGCAGGCAAAGGAAATGAAAACAGAGTATCAAAGAGGTATTTGCCCTTCCATATCCATTGTAGCACTAATTCACAACAACCAAGATGTGGAAACAGTCAAAATGTCCCGCAGTGGACGCCTGGATAAGGGTGTGTGCTGTGTACACAACACAGCCGTGTCCAGCCACGAGAAACAGGGGAATTCTACGCTTTGCAACAATAGGGAGGGACCTTGAGGGCATCGTGCGGAGCGGATGAGCCAGAGAAAGACAAATACTGCACTGCAGGATTTATATGTGAATCGGAAAAAAGAAATAAGTCAAATTCATAGAAAGAGAGAGTAGGTTGGTAGGGACGGGGAGTGGGGAGATCGGGAGAGGCAGGTGAAGGGATTCCAGCTTGCGGCTGTTGGATGAATAAGGTCTGATGGTGTTACGGTGACGACAGGTGACATATCGTATAATTGGAATTTACCAAGGGAGCAGAACTTACATGTTCACACGCGCACACGAGACAAACATGTGAGGTTATTGACTGGATGGGGGACCCCTTCCCAGGGTATATGTTTACCAAATCACAATGATGGACACCTCGAATGTCTTACAATTTTATATATCAATGACACCTCGATGGGCCAGACGTTAAAAAGGCCAACCCTTGAGGAACTCTAGAGAGTCTTTTGAACGCCAAGGAGAAGAACATTGTGGTGGCAGCAGCCCAACCTCCACGGGCTTGGTCCTCTCCCCCCCCCCCCCCCCCCCCCCCCGCCTGGTGACGGTGTCAAGGAAGGCCCCTCCCGCTCCCTGCGCGTTGGCTACCAGGACCGGGAGGTCTGCAGGAGGTAGCCCCGCGGCGCTAGCTGGCCGTGCCCAGGCTGGTCTCGCACACCCAGCGGAAGACCCTCTGGCAGGCGTTGTCGTTCCACTTGCCATCGTCCGCTTCCAATTGCGCGCAGTCCTCGCCCCCGCCCAGTCCGTGCCCGTCCCAGTTGTCCGGCTGGTCTGGCTTCCAGTTCCTGCGGGGAGAGGACCGCAGCCAGCTGGGACGGTCCGAGGGCACCCCGGGGAGGGGGCGGCGGGAACGAGGGGCTGAGAGCCAGACCCTGCAGGAGCAAGAGCTCCAGGCGGGAGAAGGGGACGGACAGCCAGGGCGCGCTCACTTGAAGTTGGTCTCGTAGTCCGTCCCGTCCACCCATTTCCAGGCTCCGTCAGCGTCAGTGAGGCCCATCCACGTGTGTGAGCTGATGTGCTCCTGCACAAAAGTCTGGGGCGACAGAAGGCCAAGGGTGAGGTCTCCCCAGTTCAGCCAGCTCCTTGCGCTTGACAAGCCCCCCCCCCCCCGCCGCCATCTGCTGAGGCTGGGGCTGTTTCCTCCAATAACCCTCCATGAACCCTCCGAGGGTGGCTCGGCCGGCTTGGGGGGGGGCGGATGTCAAGGCCCCCAGGTGATTCTGCCCTGCAGCGAGGTTGAGAACCGCTTCCTTAAATGGGACACGTCCTGGGACCCTCGCCTCTGCGGCACTCACCTGCTCGGCTCTGGAGTTGACGACCACCAGGTGCGCGCTCTCCTGCCGGCAGTACCGGTCCGCGTCCGTCCACATCTTCTGGGAGGAGCCGGAGAACCAGTAGCAGCTGCCCTCGTGCTCCAGCCAGTTCGGGGGGCAGCAGGTATTTTGAGAGCCTGCAGGGCCAGGGGAAGGGAGGGTCTGAGACGCCGCGCCCCCGGAGGGACGAGCAGGAGATGGGGCCCAGCCCACGCGCACCCCCTCACCCCGCTCACCGTTGCTCTGGAGAGCGACGATCTGGCAAGTCAGGGATCTCACGTCTCTGGCCAGCTGCTGCACCCGAAGGAGCGTATCGGAATGACCTGGGACACACACAGGTGCGCGGTGGGGGCAGTGCCTGGGGCTCAGTGAGTCCCTGGTAGCCCAATGACCCTGCCGGGGTCCCGCCCCAGAACCCCCTGGTGCCCTCCCACGCACAACACGCCCAGCCCCGGTAGAGGGGAGCCGCCCCCGGTGGAGGGGGCCGGGGTGGGGGTTGCTGACCTGCTTTGAGCTCCTGCTGCTCCTTCTCGATCTTGCTCTCCAGGGAGAACACCTTGTCGTTCAAGCTGCCGGCTGGAGGGGCGGGCACTCAGGACCCCGCAGCTGCCCCCACCCCGCCCCTGACCGAAGAACACCGGGGCTCCTTCCGCGCCCGCGGGGGTCCTGAAGGAGCTCATCTGCCTGCACCTCCTGCTTCTGATTTTCCACCTCGGCTTTCAGAGATGTTATCACTTCTTGCATTTTGCCTCCTGTAGGACAGGGGGACTTGGTGGGTACTTGGGACTCGGCGCCGCCTCCCCCACAGTCCCCCAGTCCCTAGCCGCTCCGGGCGGGGCTCACCCTGGGATCTCAGCGCCTGGACCTCGGCCGCAGTGTTCGCAGTGAAGTTGCTGAAAGTTGCTCCCAGGGTCGCCAGGTCCCTCCGAAACCTGGAATCTGAGCAGGGAGGGGACAAGCAGGGCTGAGATTTACGGCCCCTCTGAGAGCTGGCGCTGAGCCGGGCACGTGACATGGCTTGACTCCCTGCGTCCTCACATGACCCAACCCGAGGGGACAGGCAGTATCCTTATCCAGAAACGCAGATGAGGAAGCAAAGTTCAGAGAGGTCAGGCCATTTGGCTAGGTTATCCAGCCCATAAGTAACCGAGCCAGCAGCCACCCTACAGGCCACGGTCCCTCGCAGCCACCCACCTGCCCCAGCGCCCCATGCGTTCTCTCCTCCCTCCCCACCCTGCGACCCTCACTCTGGGATCCGAGGACACAGATGCCGACCAGCAGGAGGAGGCCGCGGCCCAGGGCACAGCTGCTTCAGGAAGGGCCGAGGCGGAGGCAGCCCTGTGAAAGGAGAGGGTGTCAGGGCAGGAGACTGGGGGGAGGAGAGAGCCCCAGGGACCCGTGGGGGAGGTGGGCTGGTGCAGGCGACGCTGGTGGGGGACTGCCCCGGGTCGCTGTGGGGCAGGGGACACCCAGGCCTCTGGCCATTCCTGGACCAGCACAAGTCCTCAGTCACACGCCCGCAGGGACACTCGTACACAAGGACCCACAGATGGGGGATGATGGTGACACTCAAGGTCCCATCACAGTTGGGGGAGGGGACAGAAGGACCCGGACGGAGCTGGGGCAGCCAGGCCCTCGAAGGCTGAACTCATCTGCAGGGTCAGGGTCACAGGTGAGGTGTCCTTCCAAACCCCGATGCTCTTCCCCCAGAGTATAAGAACCCAGGCCCCCTGTGGCTCTCCCTGTCCCTGTCCTCGTCTTTCTCAAGACCTTGAATCCTCTTCACCCTGGGGTCCCCAAGGCTGGGGCCGGGCCCCCTCCGATAGGAGACCCTCCAACTGCGCACAGTAGGGGCACAGATGAGACATCACAGCAGGAATCCTCCGCACGATGGGGGGCAGTTTAAGGCGGGAACATTTTCCCCTTCCGCTTACCATTTCCAGGCCCTTGGCTCTGCTTCTCGCACTCTGAGTGCTGGAATTTTTCGTACTGCGACGACATGCTGGGACCAAGACTGGGGCCTGCGGAGCCGAAAGGCAGGGCCAGCGGCCAGGCAGAGGCAGAGGCCGGACCTGCAGGGGAGGCTGGGACTCGGAGTTGAGGTTCGGACAGAGCCAAGGAGGAGCCCAGGCTGGAGAGAGGCTTGGGGGTGGTTCTGGGTGTACAGGTGAGGTTGGGAGTGGGGTCAGAGCCAGGCACTGGGCAGGGGGAGGGTCGAGCAGGGGATTGAAGGTGGAGGTAAAACCTCCGGTCCTGGCCCCAAGGGACATCTGCTGGGGTGGCCGGGGGCTCCTGTGGGAGCCGTGGGTGTGCTGGGCTAGGCCTAGCACTGAAACCAGAAACCGAGTCTAGGGTCGACTTCGGGTTAGGGCTGCTGCGAAGATTCAAGCTGACTCTGGGGTCAGAGCTGTGGTTGGGCTTAAGGGGAAACTGCGTGAGTATCAGGGTCAGGGCTCCAGCCGGGCTGGGACTGGAACAAGGCTGAATCCAAGTCTCGGCTTGTGAGTGAGGCTGGGCCACCCCGTTCCAAGCCCAGTGCAGGCTGACATCCACACTTGGCCATTCAGTCCCTGAGCTGCCCCTTACCTCTCCTCTGATTCGGTCCCACCTGAGACCCACGGTCCCCGCTCTCAGCTCTCCCGACACCCTCCCTGTCCCCTCGGACTCCCCTAAGCACCCAGCCCCATTACCTGTGGAATGTCTGAAGCCTGCACTCCTTGTGCAGCAGTGACCCAAGTTGGAAAAACACGAAATCCTGGAGAGTGGAGGTCGTGGGGGGAGTGAGGGAGGAGTCCTCTAAGGGACCTGAGCCCAGCAGGTTCTAAGCTGGGTTCTGGTGTGTCCCAGTCTTCAGGCAGTGAGTGGAGGAAGGATTGGAGGGGAACTCAGGGAGATTGCGTGAGGTGGGAGGTAGATATAGGGCAGCTCTGGCTCTCCTCCTCCGGGGTGTATCTACTCCATTTCTGCTCCTCTGGAGCCCCCCGACTTCCTCATTTTTACCATTCGGGAGAAGGGAGCCAGGCCAGAGGGACCAGAGGTGCAGTCTGCCTATCTCCTCCGCCCACACCCCCTTTCACTTCCTGCCTCCCAAGTTCCCAGAACTGTGTCCCCAGCACCGCACAGCTGGGTCCGGAGGAGCCCATTTCTCAGCTCTTGCCCAATCCCACTGAGTCCTGGCTCAGGAGCTTCCTCTGGGGCCTCAGCCGCTGCGCTCCGAGCAGGAGGGAAAAGGAGACGGCAGAGTGGGGTTTCCTGGCGGGGAAAGGGAGGGAGGATCCAGGAGAGGAAAAAGGTACTGATCAAAAACTAACTAACAGGGATGGGGCCGGACCTGTGCTAGACATTCAGCATTTGATTCCCACAAGAATCTTGCGAGGCACAGTGGCCTGGGGTGAGGCTTGGACCCGGGGTGTGGGCTGCCCAAGGTCACGGGCTTGCTGAGCACGAGGGCTGGAATTCAAGTCCCAAGCCCCGCACTCCCTGACACCCTGGGCTGTCGCTTGGTATGCGAACGATCTGCAAGAAAGGGACTCAGTCCACTCCCATGACCTGCAAATCTCATGAAGGGGGCTGCCCCGACTTCACACTCAAAATCTACTCCATAGGAAGGAGCTTTAGTGTCTTAAAAGGTAGAGAAGGGGGGCGCCTGGGTGGCTCGGTGGGTTGAGCCCCTGCCTTCAGCTCGGGTCATGATCCCAGGGTCCTGGGATCGAGTCCCGCATAGGGCTCTCTGCTCAGCGGGGAGCCTGCCTCCCCCTCTCTCTCTGCCTGCCTCTCTGCCTACTTGTGATCTCTCTCTCTCTCTGTCAAATAAATAAATAAAATCTTTTAAAAAAGAAAAAGGTAGAGAAGGGAAGCAAATGAACCTCATACTACATTTTCTATATAAGTGAGATTGCGTTCTACTTGCTTTTTTTTAAAGATGTTATTTATTTATTTGAGAGAGAGCAGGGGGAGGGGCAGGAGGAGAAGCAGACTCCCCGCTGACCAGGGAGCCCGACCCAGGACTCCATCCGGGGGGGCCCCCGGGATCATGACCTGAGCTGATGGCAGATGCTTCACCGACTGAGCCGCCTGGGCGCCCCTACTTGCTTTTTATTATTTGGTATTTGGGTCGGTATTTGTCACAGGTTGGGTTTTTGGAAGCCAAGGCTGAGACTGAATTTGGAGGGTGAGCTATGTTTTTAGGGACCAACACCGGAGAGAGGAAGGGGGAAGAAGGAGGAGGGGACAAGGGGGGAAAGTGCACAGCTGTGAAGCCTACACAGCAGGCACTCTGGGCAATCAATCTGGCCATCTGTCCCAGCTGCCAGCCTCGGGCTGAGCCGGGACCTTCACACCCCACCTGGCTCAGGCACCAGGCACCTCCCACCCCCGCCACCCCAGAAGGGGCCTGACCTCCGGGGAGGCAACTGTCTGCACAGGTCGCGCTCCCTGCAACTGGGCCCCCAGTCCTTCCTGGAAGGAGGCGGAGGATGTAGGGAGCTCATGTCTGTGTCCCCGACAGCGGTGCATTGTACCTGTGCAGTCATCAGGACAGACTTCACATCTGCGAGTTGTTGGATCTGTCCCACAGAGAACGTGCCTTTACTCATCCATTCCAAAAGCACTTCCCAAGCGTCTCCAATATGCCAGGCGCCCTCCTTCTGAGACGCATACTTCAGAAGGGAACAGACAGACAGAAAAGGCCAGGCCCTCCCAGAATTTACATCCCGGCAGGTGACAGACAAAATAAATGAGTGAAATCTATATAATGTCACACGGTAGATGTTGGAAGTGTCACATGGTGACATATGGAAGAAAATACAGCTGGGAAGTGAGGTGGGATCTGTTTTTAACAAGGCCATCAAGAGTAAGGTATCAGGGTCAGCCTTACTGGGAAGGTGATGTCCAAGCAAAAGTCACAAGGACATGAGGGAGCGAGTTGTAAGGAGCTCCGGGAGGAAGATGATTCGAGACAGAAGGCACAGCCAGTGCAAAGGGCCTGGGGTGGTAGAATGTCTAGCGTGTACAAGGATCATCCCTTTGCCAGAGATGCCAGAGATTTTATTGGAGAAGTGAGCCAGAATGGCAAGGAGAGATGATCACGGGGAAAACATGGAGCACCAGTTCTCCAGGGCCCTCAGACTATTGTTAAGGATCTGTTTTTACTCTGAGTTAGAGGGGCAGACTGTGGAGGGGATCGGGGCAGAGGAGGGAATGAACGAGATGAGGGTGGAAACTGAGAGTCCCAGTAAGGAGCTGTTATATCCGGGTGACAGATATGCCCGGGGATGGACACACACACACACACACACACACACACACACACACACATGCACAATAGTTCTCCTTCCAGTCCCCCCAAAAAAGTAAACTTTGAGCATTTTCCATAAATTGCTGACTCCTTAGGAAAGAAAACGGCTTTATCCCTGACTTTTGCAATGCCAACGCCTGAAGATAAATCACAGCCTTTTGCGCACGTGATAATCGTGAGGACGGTGCTGTTTTTTCATCAGGAGCTGACGGATAAAATACTCGATCACCGGGCAGTTTTCCTCTGAACACCTGCTGTGGCCCCCCACCCCCACTCCGCTACGCCTGTCCTCCCAAAGGCTGATTGCCTCACGGCTACTTTGCCAGTAACCTTTGCTCTCCTAAATGCTTTTGCCTCTGAGACTTCTTTCTCGGTGGATGGGCACGGCTTCCCTGTGGAGCCTTTGCCCTCTCCCAGCCCCTCAGCTGGGCAGGATCCTTTTACCTGGTGCAGGGACTCAGAACGTCATGTCCACAGCGTCCAAGTCCTTCGCGGTCCTGTCTTACCGGGTCACCATGATTTGCCACCGACCATTTCATGATCACGCAGGGGAGCTCTGCAGCTCCCCAGACAGCCTCCTGGGCTACAGGCTCCGTCGTCTCCCCTCCCCATTGCCAAGCAGCACAGCCATGTCCCTCCTTAGCCGGCATTGGTCAGTCACCTCCAAGGCACAGTTACCTCCACCCCCTACCTACTGGTGGTTTTGAGGAGCCCAAAGCAGGCAGGAATCAAGAGGCATCTTCAAATCGCCACAGAACCAAGCCTGCTTTCCCTGGGAGGGGGGGTGGGGTGTTCCTTTCCTTGGGCACTAGGTCTCCCACGGTCCAATGATCCCACGGCGCAGATGGAGGGCAAACGCTCCAACCGTGGACTGTCAGGCGTTGGTGAAAGGAGATGTCACCCTCCCCCGTCCCTTTGTTGAGAGGTGGGGAAGAAGGAACCATACTGGCCACAGATTGAAGGGGTCCACCCACCCCCAGCCCCCAGCGGCTCAGGCAGGAGAGGACAGGGAAAGGTAAGTAAACCAATACACTTCCTCCATTTCCAGCCCCCAGACCCAGAGACATGATGAGTGGTCTTTTCAGAGCAATTTCTCTGCATATTTGTATACCTGTCGGGCTTCGCACACTGATGGGGCAGGTCGCTGTTTTCCTCTTACCGAAATTTTTCTCCACGGCATGCGTCTGCCTAAAAATGGGTCTCAAGGGTTTTCCCACGCCCCTGCTCACGGCCGTCTGTGTAATGGGACTCCGGAGCATTCAGGTGCCAGACATTATCTAGTGACTCCCTTGGCTGTGCATTTTGGGGATGCGGCATCCCTGGCTTTTATAAGTAATGTTGTAGTGGACAGGCTCCTATTTGCCCGTTTGCACTATGAACACGTAATTGCTCTTGGTTAGATATCCAGAAGCAAAATGAGCAGAAACATCGACCTTAAAATTTACAAGTGGATGGACACTGCCAAGGCACGCTCAAAAGACATTACCAAGTCACCTTCTCTCCACGTGAGTGAGGATTTCACTTATCCACACCTTTGCTGACCAACCTGTGCATTTTCGCCAGTGTGATGTTCAAGAAGTTCCTTCTGTCTTATTTCAGTTAGCACCGACCCAATGGCTGGTTTGGAAGAAACAAAGCTTTGCATTGTATTTTAAGTTTAGAAACTGTCCGAAGCGCTTTTATTTAATTAAAGTTCATTATGAGC